GACCGGTGCTTAGTCATGTGCTGGTGTGTTGTCAGCGTGGCAGTCGCGAGTCAGTCGCGTGGCAGATCACTCACAATGTGGTAGTTGCCCTCGTGGTGAGTGTGGAAGTCACATTCCTCGCAAAGGAAACAGTTCTCGAGGTGAATACCCAGTTGGGTCTTTCCAGCACAGTGCTCGCCGCATTGGGGGCAGGCAAGTGCGAATGCACAGCTCTCGTAGTGTTGCGTGAGCTTGGTAAAGCTCGGTAGTATGCGCTTGCAGCCTTCGCACTGGAAGTGATCACACTTGAGATGCTGTGCAAGCGTGGACTGGTCCGGTCCATCGAAGTCGCAACCTGGTTGTAAGCAATGCTTATGTCCTTACCTTGGTCAGTCAAGTCCTCAAGGTGAAGTAATCGTTGAACAAGAGAATGAACGCTCTGGCCAGGCAAAAAGACACGAGCTCGCAACTTAGAATCTCTCAGACCACTTACTGTTCGTCTGTTCCCAATGTGCATCCCGTTCATCCTGATTGCGAAATCGGCGCTGGCATGTTCCGCACCACGTATGCTTCGCAGCAGTTTGAAGATGTCGCTCCAACTCAGCGCGAGTGTTGAAGCCGAGCAGGCAAGTAAGACACACCCACTCATGGCCGACGCTGTAGTTATTCTCGAAGTGGTTCTTGAGAGCCCAGTCGTCCTTGAAAGCGGAGAGACAAAGGTTGCAATGAACTTCATGGTTCGCTGCATTGTCGACGTGGTTTTTGAGACCATTGCGGTCCACGAAGACGCGCTTGCAGAGGTTGCAATAGTTTTCGTGTCCGACGCTCTGCTTAATGTGACTGAGCAGTGCAGCTTTGTTGGCGAACTTGTACGAGCAGACGCCACACCAGTTCTCGTGTGGATCGTATGCTTTTTCGGGTGTGTTGTCCGTTGAGCCCGAGACGATGCGATCTTGCCCTTGCTGGGCGCGTGGGCGGTTGAGGATTGCCTTGGTGCGGTCATTCAGCACCTGCGGAGAGCGTCGAACCGGTGGTGCCGGCTGTACTGCAGGAGCGCCGCGCTTCTTGACCTCTTGCCATGGCATCGAGTCATCGGCAATCTGGTTGAGGAATGGGTTTTGAGAATGGTCAATAGCGGGACTGCGGACGGGAGTTTCGCTGCTGTCTGCACTGGCGAACATCGCATAGCGGTTGCTGCCAGGCGCGGCCATTGCCAGTCCGCTGCAGCGAGGGGAGGACGGGGTCGGTGTTTACAACAATGTAGTATTGGTACAGCTGATTGTGCTGATAGAGGTGATTGTGCTAGCACGGACAGCCAATAGCAAGCAGCCTGCCCTGGAGGCAGCAAGCGCCTTGTCACGTGACAGCGCGAGAACAAACGAATGGAGACATGAACACACACGGATGCGCGCATAAGCGCCACCAAAGATCGATCGAACGTCTACTCGCGTTGAAGGTATCTTCGAAGTACAGGAATGACCATGCAACTGATAACATTGAACAAGATGACACGATGGCGGAGCCGAGGAGACGGTGAGCGTGGAGGGAATGGCGCGATGGATGTACACCTCATTGGAAGCGAACGCGATATGGAGAATGCTGGACGAATCAATAAGTGAGCATGTACTTGCAGAATGGACTCAGAAAGGTCGCGATGCATATTGTTGCGAATTGACGGCGTGAGATGGTCGAAGCTGGGGTCCGGAAGACACGTTAAGTGAAAGCGAGACATGGTCCATATATCCATTCAGCGATGTCTCGATGAGACTAGAGTAGGGCAGTCAGACTGAAAGGAATGATGTCAGGAGGAAAGACGTGTTTGAATTCAAGGAGGTTGGGTGAATGACGCCACTAAATTTAGTGTGTCACGTCGCCCACGCGCTCGGTTCCGAAGTTTGCCCGAACCCCGTGTCTGCCACACCCATCGAATTCAATCACCTACACCATCAGCGCCATCTCGGAATCTGTGCCCCGCGAAGAAAAGCGAATGTTCGGTTACACTGCAACTGGAATATGTGACGAGGTCCCCAAGCTGCTTGCCAGAACGACGCGTCAGTCTTTGGCCAGAGCAGCACTACTGCAGATTTCATCGGACGCGTGCTTACCCCAACACTCTATCTTCAACGACGAACGAGCAGTCCGCTCGTTCCAGGGATCTCTGTTGCCCATCTTCTCAATGGTTCTGTCGCCCCTGACGTCGAACAAGCGATGTTATCGTCATCTCGTTCCACTATGGCGGCTCGAGCCTCAAGCGTGGCCACGAGAACTACAGTCCTATCTCATTTTATTACTGCCTTTCCGGAAGCTTCCCAACTCTAGATGGGTGTTGCTCACATGAGAAGGTTTGCTTTGCGAGCTCGGAATCTTGAAACATCAGAGTTTGTTCGTCGCGATGAACTCAGTACAATATGGCCTCGCTGACAAAAGGCTGCTACATCTTACTCACGACATACATTCAACTCTTTCGTCCAGTCTAGAACGGTGCATTTCACTTGGAGCTTTCTTCGTTTGCTACTGCACTCTACAATGCGTCTGACTGTTAGTACAAGGATATGGATCCGGTATATTCACTACGGCGGCTTTACTATTGATCTTTCACACATGCTACATACTAGAGCTCGGCCTGCAGCTACGCCCTACTGGTCTTCTTCGATCCGCCTCTCAACCAGCTTTCTTCACGAACATCGTGGCGATTCAACCGGGTGAAAGCTATCCAGCGTCACTCACACGCGCCAAAGATTATGTCACACGACGTGGAGGGAAAGCGATGTGCCCCACAAGATGTACCTGCTTTCTGTATAACTACGGGCGCGGACTACACCCCCCGGTGATCTCTCACTCCCTGCACAACCATTCGGCTCTACTTCTTTGGCTGGCCTTCTTGTCCTACACGGAAGAACCACCCAGTTTCATCCAAGTATGTTAGTTTGGAGAAGTGCTAAACAGTACTTGTATAGCAAACCGGTACCGAAAACCATTCTTGCACTTTTACGAGACACTAATCACCGTCATAAGATTTGCTTCGTATAAGATGCATTGCATCGGTAAGAGGATTCACCAGCGTTCACAAAAGACTAATCGCTTTGTCGCCTTTGAGCCTCGCTGTATCAACCATGCGTGGGATACGGAAAATAGTAGGCCGAAAGATCTCACCATCGATCAGCTTTGCCGTGCGCAAGCGCTTGCCAATGGTTCAAACTATCAACACCCAGATGAAGACATCATTGAGCGGATGCGCGCGAGAAATGATGTCTCAAGCACCCAGGAAGCAAACAGCCCCGAGCACCTCGTGCCTCCTTTACCTTCAACGCCGATAAGTTTGCACTCCGATGTTCTCGCCCGCAGTCTGCCTGTACCAGCCACTGACCCACCTAAGGCGGCTCCTGTCATCTCACAAACACATCCATGCGCGAAACTCTCGTTAGAAGATCATATCTGGGAAGAGAAAGCATGTAAAGGCATCGCTCACAAGGGGCTGAGCTTGGACAAAGTCTGGGATAAAAAGACGTGGAAGCAGAAAGCCAACAACATCGAACGATTGAAGTTGCTAAAGGACGATGGGTACGACATCAAATCTCTACAGGCCCCGAAGACATCCGCAGATGCAATAATCGAGGCTCTACTGGCTCATGTCAAAGTACGGAAGGAGAAGAATCTGGATCTTGCAGCTTCTACAGTACTACAGTCAACTCCCAGTGAGGAAGTACCAGAAGTAAGGAAAGAAGATAGCTATGACCCCACTCCAGCGAATGATGACGACGCAGCGCATGCGGAGCCCAAGGAAATTGCAGACCATGTTCCATCGGATGCGACACCACAAGGTGTTCCGGAGTTTGCGCACGATGAACCAGAATCGCAGTCATATATTCCGCCCCCCGTCGCAGGCCTGAAACGCAAGCATACCCACGAGGATGAAAACCAGCCTGATTGGCACCAAGACAACCCACAAAAGGAACTCCACGAAGCCTACAACACAGCAAACTCCAACACTCTCATCAATTCGCCGTGCACCTGCAGAAACGCTAAAATGGCGCGAATGATGACGAGGGAAGATTTTGCCAACGCCTTCGCACAGCAAGCTGCGTTCATATACAGTCGAAAGATTGGTCGTGACATCTTCCGCTACACTAGAGAGATGAGAATGATATTTCAGGACCCACTGTCGAAAGAATCCTTCGACATTTGTATGGCGTCGTGGAGACCCTCACGAATCATCTTTCAGTCGCTGCCATCGGTCGCTCGACAGTCCTGTGAATCGCATGTGTATATCAGCGCGCAAGGTATCAAGCTGATGATGTGGGAGCTTTCGCACATCGCTTACGATCCTCATCAAGATGGTAGCTGGTGCATCGCAGACCCCGACGAAAATGAAGATCGAAAGGGCGATCGATTGATGGAAGCATGCAACCCAGTAAAGGACGAATTTCGATACAAGATCCGCATTTTCGAAACTCCAACTTTCCCTATGATTATGGAAGGAGAGACCATGGCACTGGTTGGACTACTGAGACGTCTTCGTAAGAGCGGTATCAGCTACTACCACAAAGGACAGTATGATCCGCAACGGATGGAGGTGGTCCCGTATGACAATGAAACCAGGCAGCTAAGTGATGCCACCCAGTCTGCTTTAGAGGAGGCGGAAAAGATATTAGAGGCAGGACAAGCCCTTGGTGGCATCGATGTTCATATTGGGTTTCAGGATAGCTCGGACTACCTAGATGATTTGTTCTAGGTCAAGAGCGCACGAAGTAGTACATTCACTGTGACCCGTCTGTAGCTCTACCAATTGTTTGATAAGAGGAACTTATGACGATACGGTAGTGAATGCGACTCGCGGCCCGTGCTCACCAACACTCCAAGCTCTGCACCAAACACTGCCCTCGTTGCCTTGATGCTGCCTGTGTGCACCCCCGCTCTCTAGCCACTTCTACGGCGAAGTCGCACTCGTGAAATCATTCGATCATTTGCTCCCTCTCATACTCCTACCGCGACCGCAAATTTGAACCCCAGCTACACCCATAATGCCCGTACGCACCCGCAAAATCGGCGTCAACGACAAGGACAAAACCGCTCTCGCATTCGCCCACGATGACTTCCGCCGCCATTGGGTCTCCGGCCAGGTGGGAGGCGGACGCAACACCGATTCAAGAGTCGCATTCAACCAACAAGACAACGGGTTCAAGCATCTAAAGCTCACCGTCGCAATGCTCTTCGACGCCAAAATCAACGAGGCACCTGACTTTTCCAACTTCGGTCCCGAGGAAGAGGCCAAATACCACGCGATGCTACGCAGCAAGCTCAGCCTTGCGAAGGACTACATACTCAAGGAGAAGGACCTGTCTCTCGACCCTGACCGATTCGGTGCGCGCCACGAGCCTGCGTCATTAGCCCTCGCCGCACCGCCTATCATGATCGACTTGTATTCTCAGCACATGATCCGGCTCCTCCTCGATATCTCAGCACAACTTCGCCAGGTCAGCGCTGAGACTCCGGCGGATGAGGTTGAGACCGTGCTAGAGGGGCCGATGAGAGATTACTTGGAGTTCTGGGAGAGGTTACAGAACAGTCTGTCATGGCAGCTTCCCGGAGAGGATAACGAGGCTAGGATGGGCGAGGCGGACAGGGCTATGAGTGAGGTCTTGGAGAAGTTGGTTGAGCCTTAGCATGTGGGCACATAAGGCAGCTTGGCAAGTCAACGGGGGAGGAATTTACGTAAGGCATGCTTGCAAGCAGACCAGTTGACAGCACTCATAAAAATTATGAAACCCTTCAGCTGTAGGAATGTTTTTGAACACCATTTCCATTCGTAGACATACAACCAGTAGCAAGAGCCAATTGTCCAGTCTACCCAAAGCTTGTCACCATCTAGCCTTTGGCTTGCAAGTATGACCAAGCGAATAGCTGGTTTGCTGGCTGCTTGAATGCTTTCGGTATTCAGTTGCTCGATGTCGACACTGACTTTGCAAGCCCATCTTCGGCACTCTGTGTCGGCCCAGTGACTCAGCCAACGGGGGCAATGAATATATTTTCTGTTGTCTGGGGGCTACATGCTGCATTTCACGCACTAGTTGCCTGGCTACTCTCCTCTGTCAATATATAAATACTGGTTCCTGCTCCAAAAGGCCATCGTGGCGAAGCTTAGCTCGACCCCTCGATCGAAAGACATTACATCGAAACGCGTAAGTCGGGTGACCTGGATCGAATCGTCAGATCGGAATCCTTGAATAACCAGTTCCCCATCTCCGGATATATAGAGGTAAAGAAAGGCTCTCTTCATTCTTCGACTTAGGCTAACTGTTAAAGTCGTACAAAACGAGTACACAATATGGCCTCGACCACTACGATATATCCGAACACTCTTGAGGGTGTCAAGGCTTTCTGCAAGGGTCGCAAAGCTCTTGACCTCGTGCGCAGCTTCAGCACTAGTCCAATCCCAGGCGCACCGGCAAAGTGGGACGACACGCTGGGAGTTTGTCTAGACCTCGAATGGTACAACCAACCTCCCGACAAGCCAATGGAGATAATCAACGAGAGCGGTCTCGTCGTCTTCCCGATGAAGAAGCTTCGTGGGTGCAAGAGCCCGAGCGATTTCGAGGATCTCATTCGAAACTTCGCGGTACATCACCTACGCATCGTGGAGACGTGTCACATGCGGAACAAGGGGAAAGACAAGTTTGGTATCCCTTTCGGTGATACCGAGCTGAACCCAAGGTTTTGTCAAACGCGCTTCGTTACGAAGTCTGAGGCCCAAGCAGTCCTGATCCAGTTCCTCGACAACCAGCGCTGCGACGATGGCTCGAAGAGGCCAGTGATATTCTTTGGCCAAGGCCTGAACAATGATGAGCGCCAGCTGAAGGAGCAATGGAACCTTAACACGGCTAAGCTTGACAGCATCGTTCTCACGATCCGATCGCTTGGGACACTGGCGAGCCACGCCGGTATCGTCGCTGTCCCAGACAAAGAACGCGGTGAGAGCTTGCCGAGGTTCGTCGAGCTTCTTCGTGGGTTCCAAATCGATACAAGCAACATCTGGCTACACAACAGCTCAAATGATGCGGTTTATGAGACAACACTGTTCTTTCTCGTTGTCCTCTTCCCAGTTTTGTTTCCGGGTACGCCTGGCAATCAATTCCCGTCGGACTGCACCATCGCCGACCGTTCCATCAACGACATCTGGACCGATCTTGCTGAGGAGAAGAATTCTATCCCGCCTCAGACGTGGGGCACAGCTCAGTTTTGTTGGTACTGCGAGAAGGCAGACGTGCATGACGCCGACGCGTGTGCTGTAAAGGAGACGATCGAGTGCGACATTTGCGCGAAAGCACCTGGTCCTGAGAATAAGCGCTTCCGCAGCAAGCAATATCGCTTTGGCCATCAGACTAGTCGGTGTACCCATCAGTTCAGGCACTACATCCCACCCCTGCCTGCATTTATTACCGACAACCTCGACCACGAAGAGCAGCGTGCTGTCTCGCGAGCCAAGGCTAGTGACGATGTTGCGGTCGGTGGGCGGATTCTGTTCGACAAGCTTCTGGCCCCTGGGTACCCAGGCAAGATTGGCGACCGTGAGTTGGATGCCGAGGACGAGCGTCGCGCTGAGGAGGACAAGATGCTGTGGAGCTTGAGCGATGCTGATGACGAAGAATTCGCTCTAGATGATGAGTAGTACAGCATTTGACGCGTGTCAATCGAATCGACCGTGGGAGCACATTCGATCGCAGGCTCGGGGCTTATGGACGAGAGGAGGAACGTTTGCTTCTGTACAGCTGTTTTGTTGTAGTATTAGTAGTCAGCCATGATAAGGTGTATAACATTTGTTCCAAAGTCTGTTATCGAGCTCGATCCTTTTCCATGCTTGCAGTGTTGGAAAGAGTGAGCCCTGAACCGCTCTGGCTGCCACCCCTGGTAGGACGCTGCATGGCCAGTTGGTCGAGCATTAGGCGCTTCATGCTACCGATACTGATCGTAGCCTTTGAACAAGACGTGTAGTTTGGGACGAGGAGTGTGCACTGGAGACAGCTGTTGAAATCGTGGCTGGGTGGTGGTGTTACGAGCCGTTGATTGCGACGCGTCGCAAAGTTTCGCCGAAGCGATGACGTCACCCTCCCGATACGATCTTCTCACGTGACCCCAGCCATCTCCGGACTTCCAAGGTTTGCCGCTTCGTTTCCTGTGGCAAGCGCCAAAGCACTCCCGCTCGCAGCACTAGCTTCCGAGAGCACAATTTATTACATGTCTAGCAGACTAACACTATCGGACTGTCGTCGCGGCCTTCCTAAAGTCGACCATTTCTCAACAGATCATCTACATTGACAAACGTGTCGTTGACAATACCCTCCACCTGCTTTCCGAGTTCACTATCAGTATCAACACTTACGCTCTTCATCATCTCTCGCCACAGCTCAGTCCTTTGTATATAGTAGACTTCTTTTAGGCACGCCAAGTAGTGTTTGCTGTCACGGTCGATCTCTCCGCACTGCTGGTGGTAAGAGCGAAGTTCGTGTTGATGGTGCAAGACCGTGCAGACCAGCATTTGGGCTTTTTCTGAGATCATGGGCTTCGAAAAACAGTCCAAAATGATCTTGACATCTGTGAGAGGTGTCCCGTCAAGCTCAAACCCGGGTGTGCTGCAGAGCTCTGGGTAAGGGTTGACAAATGCATTTGTATCATCTACTCCCGCTTGTGGACTGCCGTGCTGTGAGGTTTCTGCGTCGTCAATAGCAGATTTCTTGATCATGACAAGGTGTGAATGGAGGCTCCTTAAAATGAACAGAAGTTGGCGTTTCGACATCGGTTTGGGCTCTTTCGCTGGAGCTGTGTGTATACGGAGGATATCTTTCTTTTTGGTGGAGCTGATGGATCGCGGCTTTCGCTCATAGTCATCACCTATGATTGGTGTTCCTTCGATAAGTCCTTGATCAATGCGCTTATTGCGACAGGCGACCAAAGCCTGGGCGAAGTCCATTGCCGTGAAGTCTTTCCAAGGCGCATTGCCATATACACTGACGTCTTCGCCCGCCCTTTGTAGTGCTCTAAACATGTTGCCCTTGTTAGATCTTCCTACCCATGACCTGGCCGTCCAAGGAGCATCAGGGTCTGTGCCTCGCTTTCTTGATGCAGTTGGGGTTATGGCAGGAGATCTGGATTTCGAAGGGTGAGAGAGATTCAGAGATGGATTAGACCTGTGGGCCTTTCCTTGACTTCCGGATGGTGCATAAGCTAGCACATCTTGATTAGTGCTCGACATGACCAGACCAAAAATTTGGAGATCTAGACACTAGTTCAGCAGAATGCTTAGGGTTGAGAGAAGAGTAGATCAGCACAACGTCTGGTAAGGAATAGTTAGCATATAAAGTGACCAATTATAGTCACGAACCTTTTTTCCCACTGGCCTTGATCATTCGCGAGACCCCCGTCAGCAAAAGTACCAGTAACCACCAGGTCTCAGTCACAGATTGTTGTGTTCTTTCACTGTGCTTATTTTAGAGCACACGAGACGTTCAAGAATGGCTCTTTCTACGAAACATAACGCCTCGCGTGATAACGGCCTCTCTTTCACTATATCGAGACATGATATCTCTCATCCATATCTAACCTCTCCAGCGCCTTCCCTAAACCAGTCATCGCTAGCCAGTCCTTCTTCCGCAGTCGCATAGTTTATGATCGTACTCTTCGATGTTGTGTAAGCATTGTAAGCATCGATGCCGTTCTCACTGCCCACTCCCGAGCTCTTGATGCCGCCCCACGGGGAGCTTGGGTCGTTGCGATGATGCGTGTTAACCCAGCAGATGCCACTCTCGATGCTTTCCGACACGCGGAAGGCTTGCGAAAGATCTTGCGTCCAGATAGCAGCGCCCAGACCGAATTCGCTGTCGTTCGCAAGCTCCAAGGCCTCTTCTTCCGTGTCAAAGCCTACGACGATGATGACAGGACCAAAGGCCTCTTCTTTCCATATGCGCGTATCGATAATCTTCTTTGTGGTACTATCCGTCAGTATTGTTGGTGGATAGAAGTAGCCTTTCGAGAAGTCGGTATTGTCCAGTGAAGATTTGTGAGTCATTCGTTGGCCACCTGTGACAACCGTCACACCTGCATCCTTTGCGTCGTTGACTAGTGTCTCAACGTTGCTGAGCTGTTTCGCCGATATGAGGGGACCCATCATAGACTCCACATTCTTCGGTGAGCCCATCCGCCTCTCGATGCTCTGCACCTTGGCTTTCAGCTTCTCCACTACCTGATCGATGATGTTGTTCTGCACGATGATACGCGTCGCTGCCACACATGTCTGGCCACTAGCTATGAAGCTTGCGAACACAATGCCGTTAACTGCAAAATCCATGTGCGCTTTTTCAAACACGATCAGCGGAGCCTTGCCACCAAGTTCGGCGGTGTAATGTGCCAGGTTGCGTCCTGCGATGGCGCCAATGGCGCGTCCTGCTGGTGTGCCGCCAGTAACATCGACTTTCTTGATGAGCGGATGCTCCACAAGAGCCTTTCCGGTCGTGATGCCGTCGCCTGGCAACACTGAAAAAACGCCGTCGGGCAAGCCGGCCTCTTTCAGAAGCTTGCCAAGCTCAATGCTGGTGAGCGGCGTCAGCTCGCTTGGTTTCAGCACAATGGAGTTGCCCGCGGCTAATGCGGGTGCAATCTTCTTGACAGCAATCAACATTGGGTGGTTGAACGGCGTAATCTGCGCGACTACACCGAGCGGCTTCCGGTCAACCCAATTGTGTAGTTTACCGACGGTTGGCAGGACAGAGCGCTCTTCGGTTCGTATCAACGCGGCGTAATATTTGAACCATTTCGTAAGAGTCGGAACTTGGGCATTCATCTCACGAATAGCGCGTCCGGTCTGCTGTACTTCCAGCGCGATAAGCCTTGGAAGATTCTTGGTCAGGAGTTCTGCAATTCGGTCCAGCGTCTCCGCACGCACATGGCGCGGGGCTCTCGACCACACGCCCGATTTGAAGACTTTGTGTGCAATTTGAACAACATCTTCGACATCAGACGCAGATGCAGCATGGCAGTGCGCGAAGATCTCCCCAGTCGCGGGGTCTTCAACGGCGAGCCTGTGATGCTGTTAGCAATTGGGGTGGGTCACGAATGAGGGGTCCCGCTAACTGACTGCTCCGCTCGACCTTCCACCTCTCTTCCTTCCACCCACATCTTGTATGCGTTCCCCATATTGGTCATAATACACGTCGTAAGTAGCAATTTGTGCTGCAAGAGTTTGGAGATGGCTGGGAAGTTGAGGTGAGTGAGTCCTTGGTAGCGGAGGTGGCCGACGAAGAGTGGACCTCACGATAAGTTAGCGGCGGCTAGAGACGTTTCGGCATCCAGAGTACCTTCCAGATTAACGATATGCTGGATGTAGTATTAAGCAGTATCGGGGTTCATTTTAGAGGGATTCAACATCATCGATTATGATTATAATACAATAATTTGGGTATCTTTTCCGATTTCGCCATTCTCAGTTGACCACCATATTATAACAACGCCTGAAGAGACCCTAGGAGTACAAAGCGGAGCCAAATGACAATTCTACTATTTCAGATGTGGCGCGAGGCCCGAAATTGAGAGAAGTAATCATCGCCACCGGAAGCAGAAACAAAGGAACTTTCATTTTGTCCTGATCAACCTGGATTTCATGTTAATCCAAGCACATGTCTTCCCTTCTCGTTACCCCTCCCACAGTCCAAGTCCCTCTTCACTTCACCCTCAGCTCCATGTGTCTGCAGAAGCTCAATCAACATGCTTCTCTCCTTGCCTTCAAGTCTCACCGCTTTGAGGGCAGACTGTAGTGGTGTACGTCCATTCTTCGCCTCGAAGTTCACGTCCACACCAGCTTCAACAAGGTACTTTGCTATCGCAGACGCACCAGGCGTCCTGCAAGCAAGATGAAGTGGCGTTTCTCCATCATGATCAGGGTTGTCGATCGAGTGACCCAAGGAAGCAAGGTAACGGACAGTGGCGAGCTGCCGTCCTAATGTTGCGGCATGCATTGCGGAGTAATACGACGATGGTGCTGGATTGACACGAGTAATGTCAGCCCCAAAATCCAAGAGAAGGTTAAGAATGTCTGGCGACATTTCGTACGCTACTCGAATGAAGAAGTATCCGAATTCTGGGTGCGTCGCCATGGGGTTTGCGCCTTCCCATATCACCCTCTCCACTTCGGCAGCTGTCGCTTCTGCTGGTATATTTGCCAGAATTCGATCCACCGCCGCCCTTTGGTTTGGCTCCAGCTCTTTCCGTTTCCCCTTCGTCACAGCTATCCGATCCGAGGTGATCTTCCTATGAAAAATGGAGACGTCTGAGCTGGACAGCGTTGATGTGTATTTTGATGCTTGTTTTGATGCGTGTCTGGACGCAAGTTGTAGCCGAGTACTCGCCTTCCCTGAGAGATCAGTACACCAGCTGTATGACTTCTTGAGTCGAGATTCCGGTGGTACTAGGGTAGGACTGGATGCCGCGCCGTCGTCAGTGTAGAATGTACCGCGCGATGGGGTGATGTCTTCCCGGGATGGCGGTATCAGAAGTCGCCTTGGAACAGATGTTTGTTCAAGTGCGGAATAAGACAGAGTCTGCGCGTCTTCAAAGGACGGAACGTTGGCGAGCCAGGTGCCAATGCCGTCGTTAGCGCTGTTTCGTGTGGAAGCTTGTTCGTGGGGGCTCTTCCTGCCGCTTCGAGGCTCCTCGCCAAGGGCGGGCTCTAGGGAATCTGGACGTGGGAGAGTAGTCCTCTTTGCTAGTTGTGATGCAGACGGCCCGTCCCGTTTAATAGCTGTGATACATGATCGAAGCAGACGGACAGCCTGTAATAGTGAAGACAGTTTGTCGCGTGCTGTTTGATTCACGTAAATCTCATCTGTATCCGTCTTCTTCAGCAATTCATCACTTTGCGTGATGAGATCGCTGACAAAATTTTGAAGTAACGAATCCATCGTGTCCTGTTGGCAAAATCTAAGCTGAGTCAGTTTTCGTGCAATGCTCAGTCGTTCCTGGTGCAAACAACTTACAATGCGACATAGTCTAGACACAACTCTAGCACCACCTTTGAGGCGTCAAGATCATGCCGTAGATTCACCAAAGGTCCGTCCTTCAGCACACCCCAGTCCTCTTTCGGTTTACTACCACATGAGAGCTTAAGAAAAGCCTTGTGCAATCGTTCACAGGTATCGTCGCATGAGTCCAAAACTCGCGAGACAGCATCGATCAGAGACGCCGGCAGCTCGGCCCACTTTGCCGAAAAGTCGTCTTGCGCAATACTCAGCCCAGTTCTGATCACGAGCAGATCACTGTTGATCTTGTTCAGATCGTGACGAGCATCGCGGAATTTGCGAGCAAAACTGCTGATATCCGGGATGACCTGTTTTGGGCGTTAGCGCGTGTAGGTGCAAAGTTGAACATCTGAAGCGGCTACCTGGGCGATCGAAGTTCCTAGCGCAGCGCATCGGGCAGCGACTGTACTAGGACGCGACATTAGTTTGGATGCGCGTTGACAAAGTTGATGCTAATATGCACTTTGAAAAAGACGTCGAGGGCGTGGCCGGGCTGTCGTGGCTGTCGTGTTTGTTTTGGGGACGGCGATGCCTGTCGGCGATTTTGAAGGTGTGTTGGCTTGGTCGGAGCTGACGAGCTTGTCACATCGTGAAGTACTGGCGTACGGCACGGATCTCAAGCTCTTGCGTGCCCGCCGGTTACTTGGTGGCCCACGACGTTGGATGCGAAAGGGGGGAAGACACAGATCACGCTCAGTTTACGAAGAAAATAGGCTGCGCATTGTTTGAGGGAGGGTTGGGTGTTGTTGGGCTTTGCGTCTCCAGAGCGGTGGCTAATGCAAGAGACCTGCCTCAAATTGCGGGAGTGCAGGTGAAATTCCCCGTCTCCGAAAGCCACCAACGACTGGGCTATGGTGTTGCCATGCCTGGGGGAATAGGAGACAAGTCGCTATTGTGGGTTAGGCGGGGCGGGAGGCGCGCAGGGGAACCCGGTAGTGGAAATGAAGCCGACTGGGCAGTGGAAACATTAGATTGTCGCGTCTGCGAATGCGAGGACATCAATTTCAATTTCGCATCTTTTTTTCTTTTTTGTACATACTTGCTGCACAAGCGACTCAGTCAACAATGCCAGGTGGCAAGAATGAGAGGTAATCGACCGGGGCGGGCTCTATCCCATCAGCTTGCGCAGTGAGTCGCACCACGTCACCTTGCCGAACCTCAACACCTCTGAACGTGATGCGCGTCGCGGAGTGCCCATCGAGATACACGCTCGGCGCGTGTCCCAGCTTGTCTTCCAGATCCCCCACCCAGCTACCCACGATCCGATCGCCAACCTCGAGTTCGTACTTCGCTTTACCTCCAATCAAATCGTAGTAATTGACAGCGACGTCGTACGTTCCCGAGGCGAACGTGACATTAGCGGTCGCGACGCCCGTTGTGGAGTTTGATGTTGTGACGATAGCCGTATAGCCGGAAGCTGTCTCAAAAGGGCTTACCGCATAAGTCATGAAACCATCGAGCATCATGTCCTCCGCCTCAATGCGATACGGGTGATTGCCCACGCGCTGGTTCTCGTCTGCTATCTGTGAGAGATTGTGGTAGAACTCGTTGATCGCGTCGCGCCAAACTATCGAGTGGCCAGCTTGGAACGTTTGCCTGAACAATACATGTTCATATCGCTCATCGTCGATCTTGCCCTTCAAGGACTCCCATTGCCCAACAAATTCCTGCGCAACACCAGCACCTTCGTAGTGAGCGTCGTAGAAATGCTGAATCACAGTCTTGTTAGATTTCAGTCGCTGTGTATACGGAACGTGATGGAACCAGAGCAGTAAATTGTCCGGCGTCGATTCGATGTCTTCGTAGATTTGAGCGACCTCAGGCGGGTATTGTCCAGCATTGCCAGTGCCGTTCTTCACGGTACGGTCCATGCCGATACTGAATGCATCGGCGCGCGTCCATTGACCCCACCCATTACCGTCTTGCGAAGCAGGGTTTGGTCCAAAGTGTGTGTACAAAATGTCAGTCAATGTCTGAATGCCGAGATTGCCGCTGTAGTTTTCATATGCGGGCCACGACCTCATGGACATATCGGTGATGGTGTCGAGCACGTCCGGGTCAAAGCCAAATGTCAATCGAATCCAGTCTTGCAGGATAATCTTCGGGTCAACGGACGCGTCCCAGGCTAATCGACCGTACGCGTACAGGTTGGACATGGCTAGATGTGAGCCTAGCCAGGTCGCATTTGATCCAACTCCTGTCACGCCTGCATAGCCACCCAATGGTCGCTTGAAGCGCTCTCCAGTGATAATATCTTTGACTTTGGATGACTGGTTGTCAGATCTCATGTCAAACTCGAGGATCTCTTTCCACTGTGGAGCCAAATAGACTAGGTGGCAGTTTTGGCCAAGATACTCGGGCGTGATTTGGAGCTCGATAGCTGTGCTTGTGTGCCGTAAAGATCCAAACAGTGGCGATGCTGGTTCTCGAACCTGGAAGTCAATCTGTGGGGAAACAGAGATACGTTAGTCTGCTCTTGGATAGATAGCGTATGTAGACATACCGGGCCGAACTTGATCTGAACAACTACGTTGTCGTCGAACTTTCCATCTAGATGCTGAAAGAACTCCAATTGCGCATTCGCCCTGTCGTTGTACCAGTTGGTCTCATTGATGTGGTTGTCATAGACGAAAGCGCGGAACATGACAACACCACCACGGGGTTTAGCTGCCCTCGCGAACATGTTGGCGCCGTCTGCGAGTGTTCGGTTGTAGGTCAATGGACCAGGCTGTCCTTCTGAATTTGCTTTGACGAGATAACCGGCCATGTCTGGAACCTTGGAATAAATCTGGTTGGTGATGTTGGCCCACCATGCATCTACCTTCGGGTCTAGAGGATCGAATGTGCCTAGACTAGCATTCGGAGATGCAAAGTTGAGGGATATGCCAAGTTGCACACCCCATGGTCGCATCGCATCAGCGAGTCTACCAAGGCCTTCCACGTTGCGATCGTTGAGTAGCGTGGCGTTTGCGTTGACGTTGTTGATGATAGCCCCGTTTACACGAATCGATGCCAGCAGACGAGCGTATTCAGCAACCCGTGTCGTGTTATCTACGACAAATCCGTCCCGGAAAAATAATGAAGGGCCAGCATACCCTCGCTCGATACTGCCATCCATATTATCCCATTCATTTGTCCATCGGATGGGTACTTGCGGGTTGTATACCGTTGAAGCAGCCATAATGTTATCTTGCGCGAGCTGAGAAAGGTACTCAAAGGCTCCATAGAGAGCACCGCGTTCATTCTGTCCAATGATTATGACTTTGCCGGGGGTAGTTGTGCTGAGGAAGAAACCATCTTCGTCCAGGTTCTCGCATTCATCGATGCTTCCGTATGCGGCTACGTAGGCGTCCCATGTTCCGACGATGATGGCAGACTGGCTTTGGTCTGCCGTCGAGCTGACGTTGAGCTTTCGTCCGATGATGCCCTCCACGCCTCTCTGAAGCTCCTGGCCTGCGGTGTAGACAGGGCTCACTTTCGTGCTGTTCAACGCGATGATCGCCGGGGGTACCGATTGTGCGCATGGCCCGTCCGGTATAGGAGCGTAGCGCAGCCAGCCTTGTGAGCCATCTTCGGCCACAGCAACGCCCAGCACGCAAAATAGTGTGGTGAGAAGAAGTCGCATAATTGACGTCAATGGGTAGCGGTCAACAACCACATTCTGGCCGCCGTCCCCAAGATCCTTTATAGGTCACCATACTTTCCTCATGATCAACACGTCATTAGCACATTTACGGCAGCAATTGTCGTGACATCTCCCACCGAGGAGACAAAACGAAGTCTAACGGTCGCACCGTACTTCAGCCTAAAAGCTGGGCGCAAGTACAAGATCAGTCAAGCGTGCGGAGGGCGGCTCAAGCTTTACTGGCTGATTGTGGGGATGAATGGCGGGGATCGGAGAGATCGGCAACAACTGGCTGAAAAAGTCCGCCGAACCGGTTGACAGCCGATGGTAGTGCGCATTCCGATCGTTGTACGCGTGGACGAAAGCGCCGCAGAATTGATGGCATGGAAGACGGTGTATGGTGGAATTTGACGATGGTCAGGACGGAGACGAGGTGGTGGTGGCTTCCAGAATGTTTGTGCCGCAATTACGAGAGACCTGCTAGGGCAACTACGACGTCATCAGCCATCTCGCCCACGACCGACCGCCTGCAGTCCACAAACGATCAAAGCCTTCCCTTCATTTGCGAAATGAGCATGACACTAATCGGTTGAGTTCTATCACTACATGCGCGTGGTAACGAGCCTGTCGCGTCCCTACGATCATACGTACAGGCTATTCCAAGGTTCAGCACTAATTGACAGGGCCGCGGTGATGCTGATCGACTATATTTGTCAAAAGTGTCCATGAGAATTCTCACCTTATCGTACTTCGTGTTGACGACCTTTACCTTGTCGCGGTAGCTTCTCGAGGTAGCCTCGTATACTCTCACTCAGGTGCAGGTCCTGCCTAAGTACACATCACTCTCACGTACCGCTCTTGTAACCTTATCCTATCACTTCATACACCTTAAGTCTGAGAGAATCTCTCTACATATCAAACTCTCTTCTCCTTGAGGTCTGAAACTTGCCTCCCATCGTATCCAATTACTAACACACTTTCTCGGCCCTTTTCCCTTGTCTCCGGTACACTACCTTATGCGTGCAGCATAACTTTACTATTGGTGGAATACTAATAAACCCGTTAACACCTCCAGTCACTGGCTCGCGGTGCTAGACTGCAAGAATCGCCTACCATGGCATATACCAACGTCAACAATCCCATCACTATCGATGAAAGCGTAACGAGTTGGTACACACAAACGATTTCCAGACAGGCACGTTCTCTCATACCCGATGACTTTGAGAAACTCCCAACTTTCGAGACCGTCAAGTTCAGCCATCGCAAAAGCTTTGGTCCGATAGTCGATACCCATTGGCCACAGGACGCGTCCGAGATGGTACTTACTCTGGGTACCTTCGACGCCCCGCATCTCAACTTCAAGCCGCTGGTCTATGTCTACGTACATGGATTGAAGACCCATTATATTGGGTACTTTTATGTCAACCCAGACTCGAGCGTCTATCGCGTGCAACAGAGCAGTCTCCAGCATGTCGATATCGATGAACCGTTTTGTGACGTCGGAGACCTCTCAGTTGGCAAGCAAACTTTGTGCAACAGAGTACGAGCGATGGCGCTTTACTACTTCTTAGCTGCTGGTTACATCGACGAGGTAGGTGACTACAATCATTTCTGGCTCGACTTTAAACAGTCTTGCGCATGGATCGCAAACAAGGGCAGCCGTCCAAAGCCTCACGCAGGAGTCCAGAAACAGGAACCGGATACCGTACTAGCTTCCGCTGCGACACTAGTGCCGACTCCAGATAGGACTGACGTAACGCACGGCACTATCGCATCTCAGAAACGCACCGGCGATGATGAACCCATCCCAGCAGCAGGTAGGTTACGAAGCCTCTATTCCATCTACCTGGATAAGCTAATAGATGGCAGCGAGAATTAAGCGTCGCGACTACAGTCATATCGTACGTACGTGCAATGGCTTGGATGACGCTCAAAGCTAAATTTCTTATAGATACACCCATCACACAGCAACATACGGCGATCATTAAGCCCAGAACATCCAATCATGACAAACAGCGCAGAAGCCCGGCTAGCAGATAGCGAAAGATTAACTGCTCAGCCAAGATCAGAAAGCGACGCGCAAGCCAGGGCTGTTGAACGGCTCAGAGCACAGATGACAGTAAACCGCCAGCTCTCAGCGCAAGTCAACGGCCTCACAGCGGAGATAAGCCGAGTCAAAAACGAAAGCATGTTCAGTCAAAATGCGTACCGCGGCATCCAAGTTCAACACGATGAGCTGGCAGAACTACACGCTAATACGCTCAACAACGCGAACGCTCTTCGCGATCAGCTCGGTCAAATTCAGGCACGTTGTGCACAAGCTGAGAGGCGATCAAAGGTGCTGGAGAAGGAAGTGGAGGGTCTCAAGCAAAGGATGAGAAGAGCGGGAGAAGCGTTGGACATTTCGGGGTTTTGAAAGGTGGAGAATGATTGATCTGGGGGTATTTGAAGTAGAAGGCGCATGGCGTTGATTGGAAAAAGTTAGTGCCGGTCAAGGTCATCCGTGGGTTTCCATTGCTGGGGTTAGTGGAGTTTGCGGGAGTTTGGCAATAAAATTGGGGATGGTGCTTCGTGAGATTTGGGACTGTTTTGCGCGACATCCCTGGTCATCCTTCTGAGACGGTATCGATCAGGCTCGTTTTGGGAATGTTTGACATCGAGCAGGCAAAGATCGACGGGGCTATGTATCATCGAGCCATCCATACATGCATTCATGTCTCAAAAATTCGAGCAGCTAGTCTCTTATGCTTCACAATCAAGGCCAGATTCCACCTGAAGCTATACCTTTACATTTGTCTTGAGCATACTGAGACCCCCCAAAAGTGCACCAACTAGATCATGAAATCCTTCAATGATCATGCATGCACAGCAAGCGCAAATAGCAAACTCACAACGGCTATAACATCATGCTTTCACGCCTGTTTTCTTCGTCATCTACACCATGAGTTCCACACCTCGCACCACCACTGCCAACACCGACGATATCGACATGATTGTCAAGGCGAAGAACGAATGGAAAGGACTCTACGAATCCCTCGAAGAAACCCCGCACCACCCTACACACATAAGCGAAGAAGCACGGAGAAGAAAGAGATCAGAAGAGGACTTGCTCGTACCGGCTCTGAAAACAGCAGCGAAAGATGCGAAGGACGCCAACACGAAGCTGAAGGAATGGATAAGCGTAGTAGGCGTTGTGGACGAGTTGTGGAACGCCAGTGCTCTGAGATATCAAGTTGGTGGGGCTAGAGAAAAACTGGTCGACGCAGTTTGGGATCTGGAAGCCACCGTGTACGAATTGCGGAAAACGCTGAGGTTTGACGGAGGGACAGTACTGAATAAAGTTATTGATCCGTCGGCAGAGGATAGCTCTGAGGAGGAAGAATAGGCCGTTGGCGTTCGACTCGTTTGTTGCGGCGTACAGCTGAGAAGCCATATAGTAGTAATTGTCTTCAGTTGAGTACGATCACACTGCATCTGATAGTGCTGAGTCTTTCTGCCCAAATGAAGGCCAGGCCGAGTCTGAATCAAAGGCGCACTCTAGCCTTCGTTGACACTTTCCGCGGGGGTCGTCAGGCTACCACACATGTCGCTTAGCTGACCCTCAAGCAGCGCAATATCAAATATTACGGCTCCGAACCATGCTGACAAGAAGACATTCGATGATGGCCGTAGGGAGAGGTTTGGTGTTGTAGAGACGCGATCGAACGCGTCCGACGCGTCCTGGACCACATGGCACGTGAGGGCGCGGGGTAAGCGCGATCTCCAGCTCGGAAGCTACGACGCCATCAACCACGAAAGTCTCCAACTTGACTGCGATGCCACTGTCGCACGGTATCAAGATATCGCGATAAATTTGCCAACGACAATATCAAACCAGATCGGAAAAGCTACTGCACGGGTCCACTGCGGCTGTTAAGCCCTAAGGCGCAATACTCAGGTTCCTATCCCTAGACCACGGACGAGGCGCGACAGCCGCAATGACAACGAACGGCTTCCGAGAGTGTGGATACGCAGATACCGGTTGCCGCATTGTCGGTATTTTGTCTTTGGCACGCACGCAGATATGGGGTAGTGCCTTGGAAAGCAAGAGAGATCGGATCAGGAAAGACGTGCAGCAAGAAAGCGGACAGCAAGATACATACGTCTTGCCATGAGCGCAAATGCGCAGTTTGCTGGATGCGATACGAGGCGACCGCTCAGCTCATTCGTTCGATGTCATCGAGGTGTCACAGCGTGCGCCATCACGAACGCGAAGAAGCAGCTGCATCGATAGGGTCTGCATATCTAAGCCAGGCAAGGCAGGTGCCGATCGTCAATTTGCAAAGGGAAGAATGAGAGCATTAGGCGCGCAGCAGGCCCGAACCAGACCGAGGCAGCCCGTACGGTATCAAGACTCCCAGCCTCTGTATGTGGTAAGGCAGCATACAAGCGACACAGCAACGCCGCACTGGCTATCGATGTGTAAAAGTTGGGTGTTGGACTTTTTATCGACCTGCCTCTTCGGGTGCGCCGTTTTATCCGCCACCGGGCTTGATCGTGACGGCGCGTCTTGGCACGGCCGCGAGCAATCTGGGCGAGAGCTTTGCGGAGCTTCACGTGAGAGCTGCATGGAGATGGCCGCCAAGTCTGAGCCACGACTGCGGGACCTGTGGGCCGTGTCGCGATAGGACGACACAGAAACATGCTTTCTACGTTCCCACCGACGGCGAGCTTGTTTGTCGCCCGCAGCGCTAGCCTGCATCAGGAAGGAGCGGTCGTGAACAGCGCCCATCTATCCACATGTTTGGTATAGCAGCAACCGCATTACAGGGCGCGCCTGATGCCATCACCGAGTGCGTAGCCAACGAGGAGCGCCATCACGGCCAGGTACCGGTCCCTAAACCCCGCTGGCAAAATATCGTCCAGCCAGGGTCTGCAGCTAGGTACCGAGCAGCGCGTTGTACAAATAAGCTGCCTGCCCTTCCTGAGCTTTTCCGACCATCGACCTTGTCCAATTGAGCTTTTACGAAGCTGGTCGCATACAAAATGGCTCGATACATCAGCGTTGCCGCGGCTTTGGCTGCTACCGGCGCCTGTGCCTTTACGCCTGAGTACGTTTACCATCACATTCCGTTGCTTGCGCAACTGCTAACAAGTGAACAGAGGACTCCTCAGCACCGTCCGACGTGGCGTCGCTGACGCCAGTCCCGATGGCTCTGTCGGTCTGTTCTCGTACTCCCAGTATTCCTTCGAGGAGCACGGCAGTGCGGGTTCTGGCATGAACCTCATCGACCTCAAGACCGGCGAGATCACCGAGTCGGGCCTCAATGCCAGCGAGATCAACGAGGTCGCCTGGATTCCCGGCAGCGAGACTGGCATCATCTACATCAATGGCACCAACGAGGAGGTCCCCGGTGGTGTTACCCTGTGGGTTGGCGACATCAAGGATCCGAGTGCAAGCAAGATGGTCGCTTCTTTGGATGCGCCATACTCCGGTCTCAAGGTCGCAAACACTTCGACTGGAGACATGCATTTCATCGTAAACTGCATGGCTTACCCCAATGGTACTGCCGTCAACCCCGAGACCGAAGTTACCCCAGTGACTACTGCCCGCTACTACTCGGACAACTATGTCCGCCACTGGGACACTTGGCTGACCAAGAACCGCTACAATCTCTTCGCCGGAGCTCTCTCGGCGAACAACAGCTATGCGCTGTCCGGCGCTGGAATGCGCAACATCCAGAAGGGCATCAACTTCACCACCACTGCGCCTGAGACTCCCATCCAGCCGTTTGGTGACTCCAGCGACTACGACATCAGCCCTGATGGTTCCATGTACGCTTTCGTAACCAAGGCCCCTCAACTCAACAAGGCCAACTACACCGCATCATACACCTATGTTGGTGCTTTCGCGTCTTCCGACGCTCCCATCGCCTTCAACGGCCCAGACTCTCTCGCGGCGGAGGCTGGTCACAAGGGTGCTTCTGGTCTCCCTTCTTTCTCCACCGACAGCTGCAAGCTCGCCTACGTGCAGCAGGATGAGGACTACTACGAGTCGGACAGGTGGCAACTCTACACTGTCGACGTCGCTGTTGAGGGTACCGGTGTTGCTGTCAGCAACTGGAAGGCTCTGAGTGCCGGCTTTGACCGCTGGGTTCAGGGACCCATCACATGGGCTCACGACGACTCCTCCATCTACGTCACTGCTGATGACTACGCTCGCGTCAAGATCTTCAACTTCCCTGTCGATGCCGACGAGAGCTTCGTCCCTGAGCCTATGACCTCGAACACATCCGTCTCGGCTTTCGCCCTCCTTCCTGATGGTTCGCTGTTCGTCGCTGCTACCGCCATCTGGACTCCCAGCGAGTGGTACATCCTTGCCGACGGAGAGAAGAAGACCCTCTTCGACGCGTCTCAGGTCGACCCCAACCTCGCTGGTCTCGGATCCCACACTGTTTCCGAGATCTTCTTCAACGGTTCCAACCCTGAGCTCAAGCAGCAGCTTCAGGCCTACGTTGTCAAGCCTACTTTCTGGCAGGAGAACGTAACCTACCCGCTCGCTTTCTACATCCACGGTGGTCCTCAAGGTAACTGGGGCAACAGCTGGTCCAACCGCTGGAACCCTCAGGTCTGGGCTGACCAAGGCTACATCATTGTCGCCCCCAACCCAACCGGTTCCACCGGTTTCGGACAGTTCCTCACCGACTCCATCCAGGGCCAGTGGGGTAGCTGGCCATACCACGACTTGGTCAACGCCTGGAACTACGTCAACAGCAGCATGCCATGGATCGACACCAAGAACGGTATCGCCGCTGGTGCTTCCTACGGTGGTTACATGACCAACTGGATCCAGGCCAACGACCTCGGCAACGAGTTCAAGTGCCTCGTCACCCACGACGGTATCTCCAACACCGAGGGCGCATGGGCCTCTGAGGAACTCTGGTTCATCCGCCACGACTACAACGGCAGCATCTGGGACTCCAACGCGTACCGCGAGTGGAACCCCCAGAACCACATTGCCAACTGGTCCACTCCCCAGTTCGTCATCCACAACACCCTTGACTACCGTCTGCCCGAGAGCGACGGCCTGAGCTTGTTCAACATCCTCCAGGCCCGCGGTATCCCCTCCAGGTTCCTCAACTTCCCCGACGAGAACCACTGGGTGCTCAAGCAGGAGAACAGCTTGTTCTGGCACACCGAGATCTTCAACTGGATCAACCACTGGTCCAAGGGTGAGCCTCTGAGCGACCTGCCCATCGGTAACTAGATGGGGAAAAGTCATGGTCTTCAGCATTGATGACGACATTGATGAAACTTATTCTTAGATGATTAATGATAATACATTGATAACAAACTTCATTCACGTATGTTTCAGTGATGTATGCTCGTGATCTAAGCTCTCTTTTGGCCAGAGTCCACCCGGACTGATCTCATTTAATGTATATGTTGAAACCGAATACTAGTTCCGAGATGTAGTAAATTTGCTAGCCGGAGTACGCCAATCGCTACTGTATGGTAAGAATCAACCCGTAGTCGACTGAAGAACGTTATTGAGCTTTACAGCTATGCGGGGTAGTCGTATATCCATGCCAGTATCCGAACAACGTCCATTAGCTGTGTCCAGCGCTGATCATAAGCTACTGACAGACTTCGTTGGATGATGCACAACCCGTGTGAACGTCTACGCTACATGCACAAGCAAGAGCATAGGCATCAAGCGTCGCTCCCGCTACCCGGCGGCCGGTATCCAGCGGCTTTACTAACCAAGGATATCCGCGTCTGTCCTCAGGTACGGCTGCTGCTGTCAGGCGGGACATGGATGGTGGTTTCCCTGGTTTGTCTTGGCCTTTCTGGTGTGCTCTTCGGTTCTCGGCAACGACGATGTGCAGCGCTAAGACTACAGAAGCCATCCACACAAGACCTTGTTGATAAGCCAGGAAATGACTCGGAAGACCCGATCGCATGTGCATAGTTCGATTCAACGTCGACAATAAGCTTCTAGACACTGTCTTCAATCGAGAACCTTCAGTATGGGAACGGGGCGTAAAGAGATAAGCAGCCGCTATTGCCACTCAGCCAAGCTGCATCCTTCATTGTTCTGTGATAGCAGAGGATCCTACTGCGCCCCGTTGTGTTGGTGTATGGGTGATCATCAGAGGGTTCTGTTGGACAGGCCATGCCAAGCAAAGACGGAAAACAGCGGGTCAGGCCATGGGAATGCCAATGTGCCATGCTGCCAGGCGAGGCAAAGCTTCCGCTGATAGCAACGAAGCCTCGTGCCAAAAACCATGTGGAGGTCTTCGGCGCTCTTGTCTCGTTTTGTCGCGCTTGTTTTATTGTCAAGGAGATAAGCGTGGCTATGTGGATATGCCAATGCTGGTGCCGTCCATGGACGTTTTCGAGAAGCACAACAGGGCGTCCGCGCTAGGTGGATTGGAGAGAACAACGCGACCACTGATTGGAGTGCGCATGGAGAGCGACACGGCGTGCTGCTGCCGGTTGGTCGAGCTGCCTGTTCGAGTTTGGTGGAGTTACATCGCATGCATGCGAAGGCTGTTTCATTGTGTGGGGAGCAGCCGAGGATTGATGTGACGAGGAGGCGCCCAGCGGGACGGAAGGCTCGGCGCCAGCTGGGCAGCAGACTCGCAGCAGAGTTCGGCGGTCATGAGCGACACACACGATCGTCGACAAATGTCACTCGCCGGACCGACGTCCTGGCTCTCAACTCCAGCGCCCTCCTCGCTGCAGCGATGAACGACGTTCCCACGAGCTGTCAGCGCGCATGTGCACGTCGTGTCAGTGCGCAAGCTCTTCGGTATTGCACTGCGGCGTGGTGTCATCATGGCACAGCTCGTCGTCCAGATAAGAAAGAGCTAGGGTTACCCACCGCGTGAATGGCTGGAAAGAACATAGTGTGATCAGCGACGCTGCCAAGTGCCGAAGCACTCAATCGACGTCGTCGCATGCGCCGAGATACCCATTTCCCTGGAGCTTGGCTTGCCGAAGCCCTGCAAAGACGGGTGCGAAGCTCTAAATCGTAGTCTTACTTTCGGCATCGCCTACCCGCCCAGCTTTTGCCCAGTCACCGGCTGGTGATAAGACGGGCATTGCGAAATAGTCCCTTGATGCTGTATGGGTCAACCGCCGGCTTGGGCTACTAGCTAGATTCCACCAATTCCTGGAAACGAGGGTGGAGTGTATCCACATACGACACCTGCTCGAAAGAGAGACAGTCAAGGAATACCAAGACGGCGCTTGGGATGAGCAGATTTGCCGCTTCTGTGTCACTGTAAGGATGCTATGAGTATAATTGCGGTCGTGTGCCCAACCCTTGCGGTTCAGCAGCAGCTCATTCTTTTGCACCGCCCATACTCTTCCGTGCCTGCTAATCATGTCGGCTAACGCTGGCTCCAACGCCGTGGACATGGCCATGTCCAACGAGCCCAACAAGGCTGCTATGCCTTTGTACGAGATCGACGAGAAGCGTGCTCTTTCGGACGATCACACACCGTCGACTCTCAGCCACCAGCCTCATGGCGCTGATGTCTTCGAGGCCGACTTGGAAGGCGAAGAGCCTACGGAAGATGAGTTGAAGACACTTCGCCGTGTATCTGGAAAGATTCCGTGGACTGCCTTCACCATCGCCTTCGTCGAGCTTTGCGAGCGCTTTGGTTACTACGGATGTCAGGTTTTGTGTATGTTGTCGCTCGTACCTGTACAAGAATCAGCCCACTGACTATTTCGAAGACACCAACTTCATTCAACAGGACCTGCCCGTGATTGATGGTGTTCCACAAACCACTGGCAAGGACCCTCGCTCAGAGGGTCAACCAGGCGCGTTGGGCATGGGACAGCGTGCATCCTTCGGTATCGGTCAATTCAACTCTTTCTGGGCATACAGCACACCCATTATCGGTGCCATTATCGCCGACGAGTACCTTGGTCGCTTCAACACCATCTTCATCGCCATCGCCTTCTCTATCCTGGGTCACATTCTGCTCATCATCTCCGCCATTCCCGCTGTACTCACCAGCGGCAATGCCATCGGTCCTTTCATCCTTGGTGTCATCACCCTTGGGTTCGGTACCGGAGCTTTCAAGGCCAACATCTCCCCCTTGATCGCTGAACAATACCGCCAAACCAAGCCCCGTGTCATCAAGGACCCCAAGACTGGCGAGCGTGTCATCTCTGACCCCAACATCACGCTCTCTCGTATCTTCTTGTGTATGTTGTCCCCCAATACGATATTGTAAGCAAATCACTAACATATTCCAAGACTTCTACATGTTCATCAACATCGGCTCTCTGACTGGACAAATCTCCATGGTCTACGTTGAGAAGTACGTCGGCTTCTGGTGTGCATGGCTGCTACCCACCATCATGTTCTGTTTCTGCCCTGTCGTTCTTTGGGTCTGCAGGAACAAGTACATCCGCACTCCCCCCACTGGTTCCGTCCTCATCCGCGCCTTCAAGGTCTTGAAGCTCGCCACCAAGGGCAAGTGGTCTCTCAACCCTGCGACTACGCGCAAGAACTTCAAGAGCGAGCGATTCTGGGAGGACGTCAAGCCCAGCCACCTCGGTGCCAACAAGCCATCCTGGATGCAGTTTGACGACGCTTGGGTTGACCAGGTTGCTCGTGGCCTGCGCGCGTGCTCTTGCTTCACCTGGATTCCTCTTTACTGGTTGAGCTACAACCAGATGAACAACAACCTCACGTCTCAGGCTGCCACCATGACCCGTAACGGTGTTCCCAACGATGTCATCACCAACCTCAACCCCATCTCCCTGGTCATCTTCATCCCCATCGTTGACAACTTCCTCTACCCCGCTCTCCGCAAGGCAAACATCCGCTTCACCCCCATCAAGCGCATCGCTTTCGGTTTCATCCTCGCGTCTTTCGCCATGGTGTCCGCTGCCGTTATCCAGCACTACATCTACGCCGAGGGCCCTTGCGGCGAATATATGAACAGCTGCGACGACCCAGCCCCGATCAACGTCTGGACCCAAGCTGTGCCGTACATGCTTGTCGGTTTCTCCGAAATCTTCACGTCGATTACTGGTCTCGAGTTTGCGTTCACAAAGGCACCCAAGAACATGCGTTCGCTAGTAACCTCTTACTGGCATTTCATGTCCGCCTTTTCCAACGCGCTTGGTCAGGCGTTTGTGTCGCTGTCCGAAGATCCATTGTTGGTCTGGAACTACACGACTGTTGCTATCTTGGCGTTCATCGGTGGCATCCTCTTCTGGTTCCATCAGCGCAAGACGGATAAGCAGGAGGACATTCTTAACATGCTTCCCGACTCCAACTACATGGGCAAGGACCGAAGGCATAGTGTTGCTGGTGCTGAGGAGGCTATCGCTGGCCACAACGTTGAGGCGCATGTTCGTACCCAGGGTTAATTCGTGGGCAGTTTTACGCTATACGTCGATGTTTACGAGTGCGGCTGCCAAGAGTGGCTGTGTGTAAGGAGCTGTCATGATCGAAGATACCTATTTAGCCGGAAACAAGTTCAAACATGAGACTTCCAATCAGCTAGTGTAACTCCTCTTCCTTATCTGCTTCGCCAACTATGCATCGTCTGCACGTTTGTCAACATCTGCATACGGTCATCATAGCCATGTATTTCCCAATCGCGGTGCTGGCGGTGACATGCTAGGTCTTATCGTGGCACGAGACGACCTGCACGACGTTCAATGGGCTCGACGGGATTTTGCCAAACCACTCATACGAGATTGAGAGCGCAGGATCAAGCATTGCGTACATACCATCCCCAACAAGATTAATCAAAAGTTAAGCATGATAGAAAGTCGTTTGTGCGTGCGTCATTTACGGAGTGAACATTGGCTTTCGCAATTGGATATCTAGCCTGAACTCTCCATCGGCAGGCAGCCCAACATGGGCCATTGTGCGCACAATCCGTCGCTGCTTATTCAAAGCTTCAACCCTAGGCTAGATTGTTGTATGACGAAAAAAGGCTTCATCGTTTTGACTACCTCCTTCCTGACTATATTGTGGCCCGCGCTTGTTGTCGCCATGTGATGTGAATGCAGGTGATTTTACGAGTACGCAATAAGCTGAGCGTGTACATGATACAGGCACTGCTAGGTACGATTCGAAGTCATTCATGACATTTGAAGTGTATTGCTTTGACATGCACGTTGTGCCGAATTTGGTAGGCTCGATCGTCAATGATGACATTCGCATGTGTTAAGTCTTGCATGACATGGTGATATGATCCTGAAAGTGTTGTGTGCTCAAGCCTCGTCAAGAGTGTTCGCCTCATTGGTATCAACGTAGTCCTTCATACATCGTTCCGGACGGTATTCGGTGTACTTGACCACGGTAACAATACTGGTGGGCAACTGCTCGTAGACAGGCACAGGCTCCTCGCCCTGCATTACAGTGGGAAGTTCGCACTCCATGTCGTCCCAGCACTTCTCCGGCAAGTCATGCTCCGGGTTCCTGCTGGGACACTTGTAATCTCCTTGGCTCGGAATCTTTGCTTCGATGCATGAGACAAGCTCGAAGTCATTGGAAGGGAACGGGTCTCGACTAGGCGGTATCATCAACCTCCTCCTGACCTCAGTTTCATGGATCGTATTGGATATTTCGGGACGAGGACTTGTATGGATCCATGCGTGATTATCGAAGCTTTTGCTTATAGGATTCAGCTGACCTGGGTGTATCTCCATTTTGTATCCAGTCTTAATAACCTCCAGAAACTTTTTCTGCTTGATCCATTCCTGCAACTCCGGGAGGCCGAAGAAGTCAGCCTCGGCCAGAAGTTTATTATATCCCACGTAATCAAAGCCCTTTTCCCTCGTCCAGAGCAACGGATACATTGTGGGTCTCTTGATATAGGCGAATAATGCTGGCCAGATCTCGGGATCCGTGTCGACGGGAAGCGAACCGTCGGGCAACAGATCAACGGGCCATCGACCGCTAAGCAAACTGGCGAAGTAATCGCAGTTTTTGAGAATCGACTTTGTGGTGCGATACTTGTGGCCGTCTACGTCGAGGGTTATGTGGTCGGTCTCGGGGAGATCGGTGCGGCGAGGGTAGTCGTGTTGTTGAGGGGCATTCGAGTCGTTCGATGCGTCGAGTTCCATGGTGTTGACGTTCGATGTCATAACCGAGGGATGAGTGGGGGAATAAGTACAGTGAGTAACGATTGAGTGGTTGGTGTGATGGGGGCCGATTGATGTGTGAAGTGATGAGAGATGGCAGACCGAAGACGCGTCTCCAAACGCGCCAAGCCTTGCCCCGCTCGTGCTGTCCGCTGCTCCCTCGAGAAGGAATCCCTCCCCACAAATCCAACCCTGGAGGAACTCAACAACCTTTGGGAAACCACACAATGTCCTGCCAACCTTTCGCTAATGACGTGCTGCAACGCGTGTGGTTGGGCTCTCGATTACTTCCATGCCGGCACCAATTACGCCAAACACAACCAGTTCACTTCTGCGACGCCTTCTCTAAAATCCAGATGTCGCTGGCACTCCGTGGCTATCACAAGGTGTTCATCTTTGCGGAAATGAGAACATTTTAACACTGTAGTATCTTGTTCTGGGTCGAGGCGGAGTGGATTGCCCATATGCATGACCACGAGCGTGCATAGCATAGGAGGGCAGAGGATCCAGGTGTTGTCAATAGTGATGTGGGTAGATGTTATGAAAGCGGAAAATCAGACATTGTCTCTGTGTCTAATCTCTTGAGCATGAATCGTGCCACCTCTCATCTGGGTACGGCCCTGACCGTTGTCGCCTCCGCTCGCACATCTCTCTCCCCTCACCTTCCACGACGATATCTCCAAGCCTCTATTCAGCTCTGCCCTCCGGCGCAGCAAGACTTGGGGCTACTTACCCGCGCTGCTCTCTATAACACTGCGCATTGTGACCTCCTCACCGCTGCGCGTCTATATCACGACTCCAGGCAATGCCGCCAAAGACCATTGCGGAGGAAATCGACGACGACACCGACGATGAGATCAACAGTGAGACCGACGACGACACTAACGGCGAGATTGAAGACGAAGACGAATCTGGCACCTTCCCTACAAACGACGAGCTTATAGCAATCGCAGAAGAGGATCCCACGTCCGCAGCAGGGCTCGCATACCAGACTCCCTTTGGCGCTTTGCTCTGGCAATTGACCCATCGTCACAACACTCGCGATCGTGTTACACGAGACCTTATTAGCAGTGTTGGTACCTAGGCAGTAGAATCAATCTCAGACTCTCACTCTGCACCATTATCAACTTCCCTGTGAGGTTGACTTGGCCATCGGTCCAGATCGGCAGGCCCAGAATTCGAAGGCCTCTACCAAATTCAACACTGCATCCTCGTCGTGTTGGGCCCTAGTAATGAGGCGACAACTCCGGTCATTAGAATAGAGAAGGACAACTACAAGCATGGCCCCCAAGACGTAGCAAGGAAGCACGTAGTCTTCAATCATCTCCAGAGCGCTCTCTTGTCACATCTCAAGTTGCCTTATCGTCTACGCACATCCTATGATCACTCTCAATGTTTCTTGTCGTGGTCACTTCAATATCTCAGTGGTGCAAATCCTGATTCACCGCAGAATCCAGACCATTCACTCACCACACTAAGCCAAGACAAACGCACCACCACACGTTGAGATATATACCCGACCAAAGTCAGCACTACGGCTTCAATCGTCACATAAAACTCCTCTTACCATTTCATCCCCCATTCCACTCGCACACCGCAGTAACGATGGACGATATCTGGAGCGACACGGAGATGAGCGAGACGTCGTTTACCACCACCGAATCATCACCGCCGCCATCTCCCATCCTGACAGACTACCAAAACAACCTCATCGCCACCTACGCTTTCCACAGCGACAGCATCAGCGACCTCATGAACATCGCCGTCGACCTTGAAATCAGCGTGCGACGCGAGCGCGGCGAACCGAGCCTTCCGTACCTTGAGGAGGATTTGGAAAAGACTCGAGGGGATCTGGTGTTGCACAGGGACGCGAAGCGCAGGATTGAGAGGAACCTCAAGAAGGAGAAGGAGAGGTTGAAGATGGTGGTTGGAAATGGGTCAATCGTGGCGAAGCAGCAGTTGAATGAGATGGCTCGTTATATGGAGGTGGACAAGACGATAGAGTGTCTACGCTGAGAGATGAGTGGGCTAGGGCGCGCAAACCTGCATATCTAGAGGGAGTCTACGGCGTCTGGTGCAAGGGAGCTTTGACAAACACGACGTGCATCAAGTTGGGTCTAGGACTGAGAGGACGCAGTAAACAAAACGGTTTCATGCCTTTCCTTGGATGCTATGCATACTCTTTCTCATACGAGGAATAATGTGTGCTCATGTAAATGGGGTATACTCTTAATCGCAACCATCGAAACCGGACTAGATGAGCAAATGACAACAAGAAGTTGGAGATTACAGAAGTATAGAGGGTATTGTTACACGCAGTACAAATACAGAGATTAACAGCAAATGACGCGTGATTATGCGACATGAAGAGTGTCTGCGCCCGGGGCGGTGCGCTTTTGCTAAACGGTCTCCTCCGCGTCTCCATTCGATACTACGTCAAACCCGAGCATCGGATGCGTCACCTCTCCCCAGCACCACAAGCAGGTCTTGTTCCCAAACTGTCGCCCACAGGCGCAATGTTCCTTGTGTTCGGCGAATATTGTATCAAGGTTAGACTCTTCCGCTTCGTAACAGCGCAGGCATAGCCAGCGGTCAAGGAAGTGATTACGCAAAGTGCACTGACACTGGGAGTCTTGAAGACTACTTCGGCTATCCGAACCGTCTTTTGGGAGGCAGTCGTTGCAGAACCATCGTTTCCTTTGCTCTGTTGCTTGGTATAAGGCTCGAAGAACGGGCGAGGGGTGCACGACGTTTGAAGACGCCGATGCGGCCAAGGTGTGACTGCCGAGATCCAAGTCCAGGAGCTCTTCGACACACTCGGGTAGACCGAAACTATCTTCTTCAAAAGGAACGTCGATGAAGCCTTGGTCGTGATGTGGTGCACTGGAACCATGCGCAGGACTTTCCCATTCTGACGCGGGGTGATCACTAGACATGTGATGTGGGCTGAGAATAGGTATCTCAGAGGGTGACAACAGGATGAAGCCGCTAAAGTTAGGCAACTCATCCTCGTCACATGGCGTTTCGTAGATGCTCTGGTATACGCAGTGGATGCGGCACTCGTCGCAGGTACTGACCTTACATCTTGAACAGGGTCGACACTCCGTATCGGACTCTTTTGCGCCGCACTTGATGTACTCAGTACAGTCATAAGCATCGAAGAAAGTCGACTTCTTGTGACGCTTGTTACGGATCCGTACACCCCTACCAGAACACTTGAGTTTGCCCAGCAAATTCTCCAAGCTACTGGATTGCGGCAGTATCGTCTTGTGCATGGTCTTTGAGCATAGAAGTAGCGCCATGAGGTCTTCTGGGTATAAGCTTGATATGATCATCTCCAGCAAGCCGTATTCGTGAAACACTTCCATGAGAGGACATCGCTGCCTTGACACAGCCAGACTATCCACTCTTGTCTTTTTGCGCGCCTCCATTTGCTCACCGCACGATCTTTTGCGCTTTGTAGTCTCCATGGTCTCCCACTCGCGATAGTCTTGATCCCAATTATGTCGTGGTTCTGCTGTCCTAGTGGTAGACACGCGGTGGTCCAGCGATTGAGTAGCCATATCAGCCTTGAGTTGAGACTCCTAAGAAAGATGAGCAAGGAAGACTAAGGACGTCGGTGCGTCAGTCGAAGTCATCATGGGCCAGCAGATGCACCATGAGAGTACCGGCTCATGAGCACCACCGAGTCCGCGCAATGACGGGAAGCGCATCTCAAGGCGACGTACTTGTCTCTCACGTCGCAACGTGGTTCTAGCCTTCCGCGTCTCTGATAGCGCTTAACAGCTTTCAGTACCTGGATCTGGGTCCATCTTGGCGTTGTGTTGACAATAGTGTGGGGGACGCTCAACAGTCGGGATGAGATAAACAATGGCGTTGTATTACCACCTGGGCAACACCTCGCAGCAAAGTGGGGCGTCTATTTCAGAACCAGGGCGATTCAGAAAGAGCATGAGAAACGATGAGAAATTTTTAGTCTCGTCTATTTTGACCATCGTGGACAAACGGGGAGATGCGGGATTACGTTCCGGTAGCGGCCGACTGACGAATGAGCATCGATGACATGATGGTGCCTCGGTCATTGCTTCTTTCCGTCTCCCCTGACCCTTCACTCGACTTCGCGCTGTTCGGATGCACGCAACATATGCGCAACGCACGCGCAACTCTACTTCACCATCGACCGTCACATTGAACCACGCCTGCGTTGATTCCGATCATGCCATCTTACTGGCCCTTTCATAACGTTGGTATGCGCGACGCACCGCTACTAAGCCATCGTCCAGGCATCTGAACCACAGTCACGCGTGCTCAAAGCATCGAGAGGCCGCGACAGTTACCGCTAGCTGTTCAAGGCTTTTCATCCATAGGATTATTCACATTATGGGTGCTTCGATGGGACGATGATTGTGCACACAGCTCAATCGCATTCTCGAACGTACATACTCGCACCTCTCGAGCTTTCCCATGGGCGATATTCCGAGCCTCCTCCCAGTTCCCTCGTTCCGATGCGTAGTCACCACCTCCTTTGGTCCCATCTCATCGCCGCATTGGCATGACCCTTATTTCTTCTCATCCGGAATTTTGTAGCAGCAGCCGATGTCGAGCACATTATAGAAGGAGCAGTCGCGCTGGACGTAGAAGCCACCCTTCTTGTAACAAGTCGTTTTGGTAGTGCAGATGCCCGACGGGTCCGACCTTCCGCATGGTGCGGGATATGGGTCTTTCGGCGCAGCGAGAGCTATGGAAGCGATCGCGGCGAAGAGTACAAGGACCTTCATCTTAACGTTTGATGACAGATGATCCAGTTTCGATCAAGGGAGGTGTTGGAATTGAGTCTCACGATTTGTGGGGGTGAGTGAGTAAGTAAGTTGACAGCTTGTTGGGTAGTGATATCGCTTTGGCTATCACGAAACAACTGTTTATATAGACATCAGCCTCGTATCTACGGCGCCACTGACATCGCTGTAGAGTGAGAAGCTCATCCACGTCTCCTGCAGCGCAAT